TAATTTCGTTAAGGACCATTCGCTTTTCTCCACCTTTAGGGAAAACACTGATTTGAGACGACAAGCCCAGCAATAGCAATTGAACAGCCGCTCAATAGCCACTGGATAAAGTGAACATGACCTTGTTCAGTTGATCCAGCCGGGGGGGGGGGTGAAGTATGAATTTCGATAGAAATATTCAGTTGCTGGTTGTGTTTTTTCGGGTAAGGCAGTAATCAGCTTGCAAATCGGTCAAGTCTTATACCATAAAACAACTGCTCACCAGTGGACACCCAACCCCATTGAAGAAATTGGGTCTCCAATCAAGTGACTTCAGGACGTCTTCTCAAAGTCAAAGCCAAATTATTTGCACTACCTCCTCAAAAATTCATGATGAAGATGTGAAGCTTCTAACATTTAGGAAACGAAATTGATAGATTTATTATTTAGAAATAATAAAATTCCTTTATCAAACTGTTAATTCCAAACACGATTCGTACCATGGCGCTTAACCCCTACCGACTGAGGTACACGTACAGCAACTCCCACCCTATTGCTTTTATACAGCTTTCCATTCATTTCAACAGTGTATTTACTTCTGCATAATAAGAAAACTTTGGAAAGGTTATTAATAATTATAAATTAAAATTATTTAAGGTACATAAATTGCCAAGGCGATGCTAACAGCTTTCGATAAAATATGAAACCATCAACTTGCTTTAACATTAGAAAAATTGAGGACCAATAACGAAGATGCAAAAGTTGTGACCTTGCATGGCATTCTTGATTTGATAGTGAATGTTTACGATCCCCAGCTAGGTAATTAAATGAGCTGCGTGTTCCCATCCTTAACTTGAGAAATTTGTGAGGTAAATAAGCCTTCATGAAACCCAAACTATTGCAAATAAAAGTAGTTTCAAATTCACAGCACAATTCCTTTGAACAGGGGTGTGTGATAGACTTACCTCCACGTGGTGCACCCTGGGCAGCGTATACTCACACGGCAAAAAGTCTATTAAATGGTAGTTGACTTCTAATTTCAAACTACCATCACTCCACTGTATGTCATATTCCACCACTTTCACAATACTCACCTCATCTTTTTTATACCTTTTCTACCTACGTCTTTGAAGCAATCTTCTGTTCCCCCCCCCCTCTCAACTTTTTTCACTTTGTTGTGCCTTCCCCCCTTGTGAAGCCTGAAGTCAACTAAAGGGCTAATGTTAACCATCAAGACGCCTGCCATTTGATATATATAAATAAAATTCCTTTGAACAAAGTGAACTCATTGACTTCAGCTTTGATGTTCGTTTGACTTACCTTGGAAAATGTTTATATTCTTATGCCCTTTTATACAGATTTACTAGAACTGGAATGCCTAATTGTATGCGTGTAGATGGCTTTTGGATAACTGGAAACACTATCGATTCGCATGACCTTATTGTAAGGTTAGTTTCCCCTTTCAGTAGCTCCAATCATTACCTCAAAATGCTCAGTGGAATTTCCAACTGTTTTTTAACTGAATTTTGTCAACTCTACTCTTATACATTTAAAAGTGCAATCTTGCGCCTGACCCGACTCCAACAGCTTCGTCTTTCGGTTACCTATTTGCCCTCAGTTTTCATAGTTCGATTGATCATAGACTAATTATACTGCGACTGGTGATCGTCTGGTCACAGTTCACAAAATTCACCCAACTATTTTAGTAACTACGCTAAAATCAAATACCGCACCAAAGAGATTTTTTACCCTTGAATTTTGGCAGGATATGCATTTATATCCTCAGTAAGGGGTGTGCGATAGACTTACCTCCACGTGGTGCACCCTGGTGGGTGTGCGATAGACTTACCTCCACGTGGTGCACCCTGGGAAACGTATACTCATACGGTAAAAAGTCTATTAACCGGAAGTTTGTGTGCGATAGACTTACCTCCACGTGGTGCACCCTGGGCAGCGTATTTTCTTACGGCAAAAAAGTCTATCACTCGGCTTTCGTTATATTCATACGGCAAAAAGTCTATTAACTGGCAGTTAACTACGATAGACTTACCTCCACGTGGTGCACCCTGGGCAACGTACTTTCTTACGGCAAAAATTCTATCACTCGGCATTCGTTTTTCAATAGACTTACCTCCACGTGGTGCACCCTGGGCAACGTATATTCATACGGCAAAGTCTATTAACTGGTAGTTGACTTCTCCGCATACGGCAAAAAAGTCTATTAACCGGCAGTTTTCTTCTCACTTCAAACTACCATGACCCCCCTATATGTCCTACATTCTCATACGGCAAAAAAGTCTATTAACCGGCATTTGACATGACTTCAAACTACAATCACCCCACTGTATGTCAAATTCGACTACTGACTTCATGCGGCAAAAAAGTCTATTAATCGGCAGTTGACTTCTGACTTCAAGCTACCATCACCCCCACTGTATGTCATATTTGACTTCTTCCACAGTACTCAGCTCACCTTTTTTTCTACCTTTGTGTCTGTCTTTTGCATCTTTTAAACACTCTTCTGTCCCCCCTTTCGACTTTTTCGCTTTGATGTTCCTCTCCCTCTGTGAAGCCTGAAGTCAACTAAAGGGCTAATGATAACTATCATAAGCCTGCCATTTGATATAAATAAATATCCTCAGTAAAACGGTTAATTGATCAAAACATGACTGCTTCTAAAAATTCAAGAAGGAAAACCTATTCGACATTAATACGATTTTAAAATTTTATTATTAAAGTAATACACTGTACCTTTCAATGAAAGGAAAAAATCGCTCAATTAGAATAAGGTGACAATTTTGTTACATTGGTTTTTAAATCTAGGTGCCAGAAATTGTATTTTATGTTTGATGTCAATTTCAGCAGTCTTTTTCCTAAAAGTTGCATTTATTTCCCTTTTTAAAACTCTTTTTATGTGGATAAAAGTATAAGTATCAAAGTGCATCAAAACTGTCTCTTTTTATCGGTGCTAACCAATTAGATTGCTCCAAGGAGAGCCAATCATCACGAAGTTAGCCGCCAAAACAGTCCGATTACTTCTCATCTCTACATTCACGCGTACAACGTGGACAGACCTTGTCTTACTCTCAAGTTCTTCTTAATCTTTCTACTTTTTGAATCGATTAGCAACTTCTGATTTTTACAAATATGACTGCTGAAACTGAGGTTAAAGATGCTCCAGAGGCCACTGTTAATGCTCCTGCAACAGAGGTGGAAAAAGAGGCTCCTAAGGAACCTTCTTTGCCTAAACAAACGAAATGTGTCATACTAACAGGATTTGGAGGGCCCAAATACTTCCGCGTTCAACAAAAGGACCAGAAAACTGTTGGAAAGGGTGAAGTTGCAATTGACGTGGAAGCCTGGTAAGCAATTCACATAAAAGGAGCTCCATGTCCTGTAAGATAAATATTACAAGCTTATATAAGTATTAATGTTTTTAAACATCCACCGAAGTTCTTATTTTTGTCATTGATTTTGCCTAAAAGTTTGCCCAGACATCGGAGAAGTGGCAGATAACTGACTCCCTGACCAATCAGCATTCAGCAAACTTTGCAGCTACCGATATGCTCACCTTATCACTGACCAATCGAAACGTTCCTCAAATAAAATTCACTCTATTTAATTTCCCATGTTTTGTAAATACAGAAACGTACATAAGTTAAAGACTATTTTCCCAATGATTCGATTAGCAGTAGTTAAACCACATCGATCGACCAGATTGGCAAAGGCTTTCTTTCGGAACCATCTTGA